TCAATTATCAGAGACTCGATTTTGTAATAATACTTTTAACTCGATGGAATATGATCATATTTTAAATGAAAAATGTTTATGAAGATATGATGGATAAAAAGGAAAAGTTTGATTTTATAAGATTCAATCCATATGCAAATTAACTATAAATCATGTAACACCTCAATTTTTAGTTAATTATAACATTCACGTGGTTGGTTTAGAATTAGGTTGAATGTGGACAAATTGTTGGGTGAGATGAGAATTTTATTATTTTTTATATATTATTATTTTATTTAGATTTCCATGAACCATACAATTGAGATATTTTGAAAGTATCTCTTTTATATAGTGTATATACGTAATGGAGGAAATCATTTGGGAGGACAAAATACAAACCCAAACTTATCCTTATCTTCACACGTTCTCATGCTTCGTTGTTCTCTACTAGCTCTGCTGAACCATGGAAAGTTCTCAACCAGTCTAGGTCCTAGCTCCGACATCATGTTGCAGCTGTGTAAGTTCCGATTGGCTTAGAAGAAAACTTTAAGGGTATTGTCGACCTTGTTCAGAAAAAAAAAACTTACTATTTTCAAGGTTTCATCGGAGAAAATGTTGTTGGTAAAGAAGTGCCGGAAGAAGAAGCGGTCGCAGCGCCAATTAAGTTCACTTTTAATTATTCGCTAGTCAATGTTGCTCTTCGGATCTTACTATTTGTAGCAGCTTTAAGTTCTGTGGTGGTCATAGTTACCAGCAAGCAAACCGAGGGGTTCAAACTACAGAGGAAGAAGATGGAGCAGTTAACGATGGCTCTACTATGGTTACTACTACTGCCCCGTTAAAACCAAGAAAGAAAAGGCAGTTTGCCTTTTTAAGAGAGACAGAATGAGATCCAAGAGATTCTTGGAAATTCAAAAATTAAGGGAAAACAAAAAGGAATATCATATGAAGACAAAGGGAAAATGGGGTTATGATTCCAACATGAAAATTCGCGTGGGTGTTGTCTAGGAAAATAAAGGGGTAAACCATAAGGTATGTCATCCAAGTTTGGTGAGATCTTTACTGTCTCTTAATTTCCAAGTGTTTATAGTTATGACATAATTGTTTTTACAAGATCAATTTAGTCCATGATGTTAGTAATTAAATATTACTAGCTCTTCAAGTTTTTAGTTATGCAAATTGGGTTTCCAAATTATTAATTAGATTCTAATAAGTTATTTTTTTATGGAAAGGAAAATTATTGGAAGTCGTATTTGTACGATAAATTATCCGTGTTCGTTAGAAAAAGATTGAAAGCTAGAAATCAAGTTGGTGAGCTGGAATTTAAGACTAATATTTTGGGTTTTGTTGATGTTCCGATTTTGAGGTTCGTTTTGCCAAATTCAAATCCGGTAAGCTGTTTTTCACTGATTAATCACCTAATTCGATCCGTTTTTCGGAATTAAGTTCCGTTTTTGATAAAATTTCTGTTAATATGTATCTGAGGAATTATTGGAAGTCGATTTCAAGATCGAGGGCGTTCGAATTTAATTTAAATGGTCGAGCAATATGGCAAGGAAATCGAGGTAATACTTTACTACCTCTTTATGCTTTATGGAACATGTTGATATTGGTAAATGCATGAATAAGATAATGTTGGTCACTTTTGTGGAGTTGAATAATTTATTCACTCGATATGAATGTGGTAGAAATTCTGTAACTGAATACGGATCGAATGACTAAGATAAGAGATTGATAATTGTTAGAATTAAATTACAAGTTTGTGATTGGTGATAAAGAAATCAGCTCTGGATTTGTAACTTATATTTTATATCATCAAGGGTTAAATGTTAAAGATACTTTGATGAAAAATTATGAGAATACTCCGATATGGTAAAAATTACGAAATTACCCTTATGTTGGAAAATGATAAGAATTGCCACTGGAAGTTGGTTAATAACTCTGAAAAGACATATTGATCCGATATAACTACTGATGTGCATAAGAAATGTTAGTTTTATTTGGAAATTATGGATAACCGGTTTTAATCCTATGAGAGTTTGTGAAGGAATCATTTCAAAATCAAAGAATGTTCGGGAAAGCAATTGATCATAGGATCTCTAAATTATAATTATTTTCGTTAAGAGCTAATATTGAAATTATCTGGTTAAGAAATTACGAAAATGCCCTTGAGAGATAAAATAGTCTGAATTGACCCTGAATGAGAGAGTACTTTGAGTTATTTGTACTTAACTCGATTAAGTTCGAATTTAATTGTTAAGATCCTGTCTTTGTACAGAAAAATTTATAATATTCCGTTTGTAAAATCTGAGAAGACACTTGACCCGAAAATATTCGAATAAGGAGTAAATACTTGAAGAGTAATTTATCGGAGGTATTCTGCTGACAGAATTGTTCGAAAGGACTGAAGTAAATGATAAGATTGAATTAAATAATAAGACCGGATGGAAGGAAATGATTGAAATATTCTAGAATTATAAAATGACCAAATTACCCCTGGAATGGAAATGACTCAAGAATGTCACCAAGCTCAGGAATGAATGGATATACTCAAGCTTTGAAATGAATAGAAAAAAATGTTAAGCACCAAAATAACCAAAATGCCCTTATGACCTAGAATAAGTAAATGTCTTGGATTAATTAAGAAATCCAAATAAACATGGATGTTGTGCTACCAGTAAAAGTTGTGGAACGCAACTTAAGTGATTAACCAACGTTAGTACTATATCATTACCTGAATGATATAAGTATCACTTGAATGTTTGTTCATCTTCTCAAATTTGGATCGATGATAATTCTGGAAGTACTTGGCGCAGCTCAACTCTAGAGCGCATACAGTACTAATAAGTGGGTAGTCGTTAGTCAAATCAACCACGAATAACAGAATGACTTTATTATATGAATAAATTGAAATGAAATGAAGTACAACGTGTATTTGAAATTCAGAAACGTCTGAATTATTCTGGAAAACTTTAAAGTAATCGGGATAGACTTGCTTACCAAACGAACTAAGTAACATCAATGACTAAGGATTAAATAGGTGATTTGATGAGTTTGGAAACATTGTTGAACTTACATGATGAATTGTCATTATGGGTTATGAGCCATGGATCAAGTACGTCAGTATTTCCTGATATTGTTGAAACGTGGAAATGAAATAAAGACCGTTGGAAGATTTATTTAGTGATGATTATGGGGATGATCTATGGATCTGCACTATGGTATTAAAGAGTGAATACACTGGAAGGATAATGAATTGACTTGTTGACATGCATCAGTTTGAGAGTTGTGTAACTCGAGTTGTTTGATAATATGATCGATAGTCGTAGATTCTAAATGACTTGAATCTTCGATTCTATATTTCATCTAAAATCACTTCGGTCATGTTTGAAAAAAAAACAAGTAACGCAGATGGAAAAGATTCTGAATATCTCATTTGGTTCAATTGGGCTGAAATCCTATGAATTTAAAGTATATTCCTGAATACCCCTGATTGTTTGGGTAATGGAATCACTCGCAGTAAATCTGAATTTAGAATTATTATGTATAAAGGTTCCTGAACGTTTTCCTAAAGCATACGAAAATATAGTGGGATTCTAATGTATCAACATTAAATGTCTGGCTAGATCGGTTAGTAATCGATTCTCCTCAATAGGACCTTGTTCCAGGAATTCGTTCAAATTTCATAAGTTTCATGTTATCCAAAATGATAACTACAATGGCCTCTGGAAATACTTGGATTCTCTAGTGTGTTCCCTACTTATTACTGAACTGTTTTATTGGTTTTAATATGTGGTACACCGAATTCATTGGTTATTGTTTTATGGATGCACCAATTTAATGTGACAATTTATGGAATATGGCTGCTATCTAATTTTTGTTTTGAAATGGTATATGATTACCATGTTTTTGGATTTATGGAATTTATGTCACGGTGCAATTGAATTTTGGAATTGAATTACGATGGAATAGCTCTGATCAAGCTAAATGGGCCTAATGTGACTCTTGAGGGCCCCAAGATGTTTCATTAGGTCGGCTTTCCTTTGTTGTGTGCTTAGGATAGCTATATGGACTTATTGACTTAGGCTTAAGGATACAAGCTTCATAGCCTATCCTTAAGTCGGCTTTCTTTTTGCTATGTGCATAAAGTAAGCTATATGGAAAATAATTTTGGGAACTACTGATGGTGTACCAGAAAAGGGTTTAAACTATGATTTTCAAAAGTTAAACTCTTTTACGAAATTGTGAGATTTACTGGACTATGATTTGTACCTATTATGATTTTATTATACTGTTGGAACACACTAGACATCCTATTCGATCTCCTGAAAATGTCATACTTTGAAAGGTTTCTTATGAACTGATATTCATGGCTTCTACTCGATGAACTTCTAAGGGAACCCCAAATTATTCTGCAAGCTGGTATACGTATGATTCAATAAGGAAATTATATGGCTTTTCATTTATCTACATGTCATGTAGCATCATCTGGTAGTTCTGTATTACTGAGCTTTCCAAAGCTCACTCTATTACTCACCTTTTCAGGTTAAAACAATTGTACCAGTGCATCTATCGACTTCAGTAAGGGAGTTCTTCCGGCGTGGTTGCAGAGTATGATACTTGTGATTAGGGGGCATGTAATTGTATTTTGATTTATATACGAGTTTGGAAATCTTTTTTATTTTTAAATAGTGATAAATGATTTTATAAGTTTACATGTTCTGATAAAAAAATTTAAAATTTCCGCTATTTTTACGGTGGGTCGCTCTGGTGGCCCTAAAGTGACAACCCAGATCAGATCGGGTTATCCGCATCGGTCTGGGGGTTACAAATCAAGTCACTTTAGAAATCATAAGTAACTTGAAACACGAAATTTTAAGTAGAAGGTTGTGTAAAAAAAGGTAAAGATTGTAAATTTAATTGTTCAAGTCACTTCTATATAAAATTACCATTTGATAGCTATTTCTCACTGAAGATTTGTTTAGTCAAAACATATTTTCAGATGGAACAAAATGAAAATGAAAAAACAAACTGGACTGAACTACATATCTTTTTCCTTTCTATATAAACATTAAATTCTTCATTTTCATGCACAAAACGATGAGAGCTTCAAGTTGCACAAGCTGGAACCAAGCATGAAAAGAATCCTGGCATCTTCTTCTGCATTCCATAACAAAACAACAATGCATGAAACAAATATTCGTAAGTAGCGAATCGAAAAATATTTTTTTAGGATAAACACGTATATTAATAATACAAAATTTTTAAATGGGTAAATACAAATTAAAATTTCAGGGAAGATACCTACCCACCCTAGAAAAGCTATGGATTCACCACTGATAATTTTCTTAGTCCATATACAATAAATGCATGCATATTTTATAGATACAATTGTTCAAATCTTAAACTTTTTAAATAAAGATTTGAAGAATGAGATGGTGGAGGGGACTTACTCGCTTGGAAGAGTGGAGGAGCTCAGGGGGGATTTTGTAGAGATCTTCATCAACAGGCTTGGGTTGTCGAACAGGAACTCTCTTGGGACTGGTAGCAACGTCGTCGTATTTAAGTTGCTTACCATTTCTTGTCGTGCTGTAATTATTATTTGACAACGACACATGATGGTGGGGCTGATATTTCCTCGGCGGTTCCGTCACGTCACGGACTCTGCCTCCCTTCTTTTGCTCCTTAACATGCGCTCCTCCCTTCTCCCTTACCCTACTCACCTGCCATACACGACCGCCCACCCTCCATTATTACGATTAAAACTAAACTGACTCTAAAAAATTGAATTCGCAAGCAAATAGATGAGTAAAACTAAAACTAGAATGGAGAAAAGCAGGCAAACAAACAAACCTTTCTAGAAGGAGCAAGACCACGAGAATGTTTCCTTGAATCAACTTCATACAAGTCATGAACATAAGGATTAGATTCACCAGATGAAGAGCTGAAACGAATCAAACCTGCTTGTCTAGCACATTCGAAGTACTGAGTTATAGGCAGATCATTTGCATAATCCCAGTCTCCAAATGCTGGTATCTGCCCACTTCTCTTACCATAATCCTAGAAACACAGAAAACCCATGAGAGAATTAGCTTTAAACAACAGATCCATTCGAGATCCAAAGAAGAATACTTTTTCATGTAAACAACTTACACCCATTGTGAAGAACAAGATAAATTCTGCAGATTGTGAAGAAACCTACACAAGAGATAAATTCTGGTTCAGGAATTACTTCGAAGAGGAGAATCTACAGGGGAAAAGATATGGAGTTTCTGAGCCTTTGGAGCACACATTTATATCCTAAAAGTAGACAAAAAAGAACTAATTTTGTCAAACTTTCTCCCTTTATAAAATGTTTGTATTTTTCCCCGTTTAATCCGTTTCACGCGTCGAAGTCAGAAAAGCGGGACCCTTAAGAGAATGCAGGCTGAGTGTGTTCACAGTTCACTTGGATTTGGATCAGGGTCAAATTCTTCATTAGTCCCTGTATTATGCATTAATTTATGGATCTTGTCTCTTTATTCTGATTTTCTGTTATTGTTTATTATTCTTTTTAGTTTATCTTGGTAAGGTACAAGGCACTTGATGTTCAAAGATAATTCTTAATCATTTGACATTAAGCCTTCACACCCTTAACATTTATGGTGTTTGAAAACAGTCATTTTGATGTCAAAATAAATTCATTATTCTCAATTAATAAATAAGGAAATACATGGTAAAGAGAAGTAAGGGTCAATTCCACATAGACTTAGAAAATTCTGAATTTTTTTCTGAGTTGTTTATACCAGGCGTGATATAGTAAAATGGGGGATTTTGGTAAAATGAGATTAAATAAATAAAGGCAATTAAAGTAAAATAGGAGAGTAAAGATTGAAAATGGATATAGTAAAAATAACATCAAGCCTCGCTTTGACTCAATTTCCTTCAGATCATCGAATTAGATTTTCCTTTCGGGATTCACGTCGGTTACTTTGTCTACAAGGGCAATCCCCGTGACTCAATTTTGTGTATCGAATACCCAAGGCAATCTTTGATTTCGGCTTCAGAAACTGATCAAATCAACATCAATTGTCGTAGATCAATTACCGTTGAAGTTCATTAAAACCGACTCGGATTGTTGTTTCAATAACCAATAATTCCGATCTCAATTCCCTCTTGGCAAGACTATCTCACCAAATGTGTTCCCAGGAAGTCGAATGTGCTTTCAATAAGCCGATTCTTCCTCCCACGCATTTAATCACAATAACCTCTTGACCAAAGTCAATCTTTGATTTTGAAAACTGTTTTGATTTTGAAAAATAAGTGCAGAGATTGAGAGAGATATTCCAAAGTTATTAAGGGTCTGTTTTAATTCTCCCGTTAGAATTGAGTGATCGCTTCAACTCTCGGCTTATGAGAAAATTAGCTAAGCATGACAAATGTCATACTTACCATATTTAAAACAAAGCTTGAAAATAAAGTAAAAACTGAAAACTTGAAAAATAAAATAAAGGAGAGAATTTTTTTTATAAAACTAGAAAGAAAAGAAAATTGTAATCTGAGTTGTGAATTTAGGCTTACCCCAAGAGGGTATTTATAGCATTTAAAAACCTAAATATAAATAAAGAAATTAAAATGAAATAATCCTAAAGATAATTGTTTTTCCTAAATTCAAACTTTAAACAAGTCTCCTAATGCAACTCTGCTCGTCCATCTTCGAGAAGGCGCGCTGACTAGATCTTCTAGAAACCGCCGCTGACTGGACCTTCTAGAAACTACCACGTCAAACCGTGTCATGCACAGAGTCGTGCCAATTTCTCTAGCCGTGACCAATTAATAAAAAAAAATACACAATACGCCCGTTTTACTACTAATTTTGGAAAATAAGACCCAGCACGAAAACAAGCATCACACAACTAAATCAACAACAATAATTCCATAAAATCGAAGAATTAACGAGTAAATATTACCGATTCTGAACACTTATCAATGTTTGAACTCGAGACCTAAAAAAATAACAATAATTCATTTACCTCACTTATTCCGTGTTGGTTTTGTTTTTCCTGGGTGAATTGTATATGAAATTTTATTGAAAAATTTGGCCAAACTTTGAATTTGCTAAGACTTTAAACTTTCATTTCAATATTTGTTTTTGTCACGATAAAGATTGATATCTACCCTATGAGAGTTCTATTTGCCCACGATAAAGATTGATATCCGCCCTATTAGAGTTCCTTTAATTTTTTTTGGATAATATATTAATTTTTTTTTATTTTTTATTAATATGAAATAATTATAAAGTATTATCTATTTATAAATTTTATTATTGAAATATGTTGGTAATAATTTAAATTTTAAAGATAATCATATTCAAATATTTAAAGAAAATTATGAAATTTTTTGGCAAATTTGATAAACATCATTTACAAGAGGCAAAAGAGGGCATTTGCAGTTGTTTGTACGAAAAACATCAATAATTCAGCCATAACTCAATAGTAAATGGTAAATGCCAAAACCCACTTAACCCACCTGACCATACCATGCCAAAAAAGGCATAGTTGCTATCTTCCTTGGCCAATGTAATACCCTTTTCAAAAGTTTATGCAACTTTTGGTGGGGGAGGGGGGCTCTTGCTTTTTCTCTCTCTCTCTCTCTAAACTACCCGTTTTTTTTTTATTATCTTTAAGTCTTATAATATTGATTGTCTCTCTCGATATTTCTTTATTTCTTTTATTTTCTTATTTAATATCTTTATGACATATTTTCTCTATTAATACGTTATTTTACCATTTAGCATGATTTTTGAGTTTTTCTTCAGTCTTTTGGTCGTTTTTATTATTTATTTTTCTTTACCTTTTACGACTGATTAAGATGTCACTCATTTGTTAACCCATTGATCTTTCCTCTTTTGGACTCTCGAATTAGATTTGGATACGAAACATGCGTTCTTAGATAGTTTTCTCATGATGCTTAGTTCTGATTTGTGTTTATCGGTGGTCTTTCAATAGTTAAATCTCTTGTTATGGTCCATTTGTCATAGCAGTCAAATATGTACGTATAACCTATTCGTAGAGTTTTTCGAATGAGTTTTTCACCTTTTCATTGTATAGTCCTTATATAATCTCAAGTAGCTAGTTCTTGTTTTAATAGTTATGAGAGAACATCCTAATTATGTGATTAATTTACAAATTTAATTATAAATTCTCATTGTAATTTTGAATTTTTTTCTTTCTTGATAAAATAACTGCTTTTATTATAAAAAAAAAAGCTTTTGGTGTAGGGGTATATATATATGTATAGCATCTTGATTTGATTTCAAGAGTTAATTTAGTATTTAAGTTTTTGTTTTTAGATACTTAAATGTGATCTTAGGATTTAATTCAGTATTTAAAGTTTTTATATCTAATTAGTTACTTAATTTTTTTTTTCCAAATATATATATAAATTGAATTTTATGATTTAAATAATCTATTTTCTATAAGTACCAATTTGGACCGAATAACTAAATTTAAGCATTAATTTAAACTAAAAAACGAATTATGAACTGATATTGTCTTATAAAAGGTAATGTTGTTCTCCTAAAGATTCTAGATTCAAGCAATTGTCTATAAAAACATGTGTGCGTTTTCGATAAATTAAGGAATTTCTGAACAAATATTATCTTATAAACACTCCATACTATTAAAAAACAAGTTTTAAGTATGGGATTGGGTCAAAAAAATTATTTACTAAATTCAACCTTGAAATTAAATTAAATGCTTAATTAAATAAAAATATGAATATTGCTTGAAATGGAACACTAACAATGTATGAGATGGGAGGGGTAAATAAAGACATAAATTGAGTAAGTGAGTGGAGACAAAGATGATGACTACGTAGTTTGCATTTATTAAAAACCATCCAAAAAGATGAACCAAAAGTGAAATGCAGCACCGAATCACTGTGCGAAAATAATCACGTGTGACAGTTTTAATATAAGATTAAAAAAGACGTTATCGATTTTATTATTATTTAAATAATAAAATCGGTAAAAATGATCGGAAACATTATTAGGCGCTACTGGTTTTGTTATTATTGGACGCTTTATCGAATTTGATAAAAATGACCGGAACTATTATTAGGTGCTATCGATTTTGTTATTGTTGAGCACTTTTACCAGAAATGTTAAAAAAATTGATGTTTTAAGTAAAAATAATAATATTTTAAGTAATTTTTTATCGGCTTTATTATTTAAATAATAATAAAACCGATAACATTTTATTTTAATCTTATATTAAGGTGTCGTACTGTAGAACTTCCCTCATTGTGCCTTTTCGCTTAGTAACTTCTGCTTTTGTGACCATTTTGTAAAATGTTTTTAGAATATACCAATGCCCAAAGCTACAATTAAAGGTATAATATTAAAATTAATCCCAATCATTATTAAAATAGTTATTTTGACTCTTATTTTTATATTTTATTCTAAGATAAAAAAGTCTTTAACATTTGACTGAATAATCACTTTGACTCTTACTCTCTTTTGTGTAATATTTTTATTCTCAATATTTCATTTTATGATAAAAAGACTCATATTTTAGAGCATTGATCATTTGTTTACTTATGATTTTCATATGCAAAGAAACCTTTTTATCCCAAGATAAAATGTTATGATCAAAATACTTCAAAAATAATAGGAGTTACAATAATTTTTAATAAATGTTAGACGTAGGAGTGTTCAAACTTCGGTTAAAACTGATTTAACCGATCAAACCCAAGTTTTTATCGGTTAATTGGTATGATAATTTTAGGTTCAATCGGTTAACGATTAATGATTTTCTCAAGCTTCGATTATCGGTTAGCTGAAATTTTTAAATTTTTAATAAATTATTTATATGACTTAGCCTTATGAGTGTTTAAGTTTGATTTTAATTAAATCAACCGACTGATTAATCAAACTTTTTTTGGTTCGATTAATTATTTAAAAAAAAATTGATTCGATTAACGGTTAAAGAAAAATTCAATTAATAAAGTTTTAAAAATTTAATTCGATTGATAAACCGAATCGACCCGTTATTAGACTATTAATATTGATATTATGTCCTAATTTAAAATAGACACAAAGTTGTAGAGCCAGGGAAAAAGGAAAATTGATGGGGCATGCGAGTTTGTTGAAACCTTTTATTAGGAGTTGATTTTGGGCATGGAAAAATGGGAAAAGGCAAAGTAATTTGATTGGCTCAAGCTGCCGTGGTAGGCTAAAACCTCGTGGAGTGATAAAAGGTCACCATTTTCCAAGTGCTTAAAAAATAAACCGACCTAGGGGCTTGAACAACGACCAAAAGCCAC